TTGTGGGGGGGGGGGGGGCAAGGCGGAGAAGAACCGACGTCTTGTCGGTAGGTTCGACGGCGATGAGGCGCGACGAGCTAAGTTCCCACACCCTACGAGGCAGAGCGCCGGCATGGCCACAAGACAACACGAAAAACGCCGCATCCATCGAGAGAACCTTTCTGTCTCTTGCAGGCCTGGTCCCAGAACAACTCCATGCTCCGACGACCCCTAAAAACTACAATGCTGGGACACGGTCGTGACAAAATCAACATTCGTTCCGAGGAGGGCCATCTCGTCCAGCTCCTTCTCGGTGCTCACGTGTCCTGCCAGGCTTTGAGTGACCGCGCGAGGTCCGCGTAGAGAGCCGACTTGCCCATCCCGCTTTGGCAGTACGCGGACAGGGCGTGGATGACGATGTCAGGCACGTCTTTCGGCAGGGGGCCCTGCGGGTGGCACACCAGACAGGTCGGTCGATCACAATCGGACGCGGCGGCGGAACGGAAGGGGACTGCTGTCTGAAGCACCAATATAGTGAGAGGCAGGTCGAAACTGTAGGCAATCTGCGGGCGGCAACGTGGAAGCAGCCCTCTGCCGTTTTGACGCACAGGAGAGTCCGGGGCACCCTAACGCGCGTCGGAAGAAACGTCGAAGGTATCGCCACGTGGGCAAAGTCGACAGGGAAGCGACCCTGGAGGGATAAAAGGGCTGCAGGAACACGGACGCAAGCAAGCTTGGCACACTGCAAAACTTCCCCGCACCACCGCTGTCTGCGTCTAACAGCAGCAGCAGCGGGTGTGCACGGCGGCGATACAACCCCAACAGGCGGCGCAACACAGGACGAAAAACACCACAGGCACGATGTGGCCGCCGGTCGCGCACCTGCGAGGGAGTAAACGGCTCGAGCATGTACACGCTGGCCAGGACCTCCAGGATGATGTCGAAAGCCACCACGGCGTCCTTGGCCACCCTCTCGCGGAGCTTGCTGTCCTCGCTGTCCCGCGAGGAGAGGAACGACCGGCACAGAGTCTCCAGAGTTCCTTGCTGAAATCGAAGAACAAACGGCGAGCCGAAGGCGGGAAGCGCCAGACGCAGGGAACATCCAGCGACACACGGGCGGAGCTGAGGCAAAAGTGACTTCGTGAAGCAAGATGGATCAAAACGCCTCTCCGAACAGCGAACGGCCGACCGTGTGCGATGAGAACAGACAGGTTCGGGGGCGAGCGGCAGCTGCGCCGTCAAAACGCGTCGTGCAGTCTCGCGCTGCTTGGGCTTGCTCGTCAACACAACGGCGGAAATAATTATTCCTCAACAGGTGTACGCGGGTAGCCAAGACCTTTATAACTGGGACGAAAGCAAACCGCGTACAGTACAACTACCGTGCTAGGCGACGCCAAGCGAATGCTCATACAACATGTCAAAGGAAGTAAGGTTTGTGCCGCAGATGACGCGAGGAAAAGGGAGTACAAAAAAGAAAAAAGAAACGCTTCAGCGACGACCGGTTCGTCCGCTGCACCGACCAGTGAGCGGCATGGGTGCCGCCGCCGCCACCGTCCTTCCTGAAACGGAAAGGCCCATAAAAGCTGACGGCTTTGAGTCCGAAAACATCATCCATGCTACATTTTCTTTTGCGTTTCGCTCCCCTCTATCTACCTAACCTTGAGGGCGTTGGTGATGTAGAGCTGGCACTGCTCCTTGTCCAGAGCCTTGTCGTTCATGCTGGTCTCCTGCCCCTGGCTGTGCTTCGGGCAGTGGAGGTAGGTGATGACGATCCGAATGCGCAGCGCGCTCAGGTTCATCACGAGCGACTGCGGGCAGCAGCACGGGACGAAAAACAGTCACGGGCAGCGCATGTCAAGGTACAAAAACCTACCACCGAGCTGATACACAACGCGTCAGGGGGCGCGCCGATCTCGAGTTGAAAGCAAGCAGCGCCAAAGCTTCGAGCGCTTGGGGCGCACACGCTTTGCTTGTACCCCAGAAAACGGATGGGTGCGGCTCACCTTTTCGTTTGTGTAGACCTCTCTCGCGGCAGCTTCGGCCTGCTGGAGGGTCTCATAGGCAGTCCGGAAGCGGGGGTTCTGCTGGTACTCGAGCAGCAACTTCATCGAGTGCCTCAGCTTGTCGTACAGCGCCTCGAGGGGCTGTCGAGGGTAAAAGTAGGCGGTATGTGTTCAAGAGGGGGGGGGGGGGGCAGAGGAGAATGTACAATGTGGTCAGTCTGCTGCGCCGCGCTGACGCGTGCATGCACCGAGAGTGATTTTAGCGAGCTTCGGTGCGGATCTGCAAGATTGAGAAAGGCAGAAACTAAACAATAACAAGACACAGGGAAACACACACAGACAGAGAGAGAAAGAGAGAGAGGGAGGGAGGAAGAGGGGGGGAGATAGAGACACACAACCAGAGGATTTGTCTTCAGGGTCTATATCCGGTTTCCGAGGAGCCGAAACACCATGTTGACAGGCTCAGAGGTATTTGCCCTCTTGTGAGCTGGAACCGAAGCAGGCTTTCGATAGCCGGCACCGCCGCCGCGGGGTAAAACTCACAAGATTGTCGATTTTGTCGCCCACGACCTTGATCTCATCCAACAACCGAAGGTTGTCGCGGCTGCTAACGTCTGAAGCGCGGCGAAGCTCCTGCCAAACGTAACGGGGCAAGCAAAGACAAAAAAAAAAAAAAAAACGTCAGTGAAACAGGAGGACGCAACCCAGGCTAGCGTTTAACAGCAGCGCTGCTGACCGTGGTTTCCAACGCAACTTCGCCCATGCAACGACGAAGAAAACGTCAACCTGTTCGTGAGATTGTAAATATTCCCAGCGATCATTTCCTCCCACACGCGACTAGGCGGTCTAGGTGCACGGAGGCCACAGCAGCTGTAACGGCCGTAGCCAATAAGCAGGTTCCGTTCGATGGGCCTTCTCGGGCCTACGCTCTCGCTTGTTTAAAACACACCTGCGAGGGTTACGCAATCTACCGATACCTGACATCGCGATACTTAAAAAAAAAAAAAAAAACGCCCAGCTGGTCGTTTTCGCTCCGAGAAAACAAGAGCTTACCTCGATCCACAGCCGATCGTCTTGTTGGCGCAAAGCCTCCGCGCTGTGGCCGTGCATGCCGGCCGTGCTGCACCCAGCAGGGTCCCATGGGAGTGGACCTTCGCCGCACACCTCTGGGGGCGCGGTGGCCACAGCGACGGGGACAGCAGCATCGTTACCAGAGCGGTACGTTGGTACTGCAACAACATCGGCACGATTGCCGTAAGCTGGATTTGAATGAAACGAACTGGCGCCGCCACCGTAAGCTGGATTTGCATGAAACGAGCTGGCGCCGGCACCGTGAGCTGGATTTGCATGAAACGAACTGGGGCCGCCGCCGTATGCTGAACTTGCATGAACCGAATGACCGCCGCCGCCGCCGCCGCCGCCGCCGCCGCCGCCGCCACCGTAAGATGCTTCCGTAGCAACGGGGCCGGCGTACGCAGGAACTGCACGGAGCACGTCGTGAGGGGGACGGTGGGGTGCAGTCGCGACGCTTGAGAATCGAGCCCGGGCAAGCTCTCGGCCCAACAGCAGTAGCGACGCCTCAAATAACAAAAAACAACAGCACTGCTAGTGGGGTTTACCTGGGCCTTGTTTCTTCAACGGACGGCACACGCACACAGCCGTCAATATTGAGGTTGTACTGCAAATGAGTAGATGACGCACGTCCCCTGCGGGCCCCTCACTCTACGGGCCACAATCCCAGACGCGCGAGCATCCGGCAGGGAAGACGACCCGGACGGCATGTCCAACACAAATCCAACACAAACCATCACCACACGCAGGAGGACCCTTCTTGACGTGCCACAATCGGGTTTATGGTCTGTAGTGTACTCCCCCCCCCCCCCCCCCCAACCCTCTCTCGATACAATTCCAAGCTTACCGAAAAAAGCTTGTTCCTCTTCTTTTCCTGTGAGCTGCGGGTTGTTGGGGTTCCCCTCGCGCTTCCCCTCCCGGTAGGACTTGATCGCCTTGTAGCTCACTTGGCAGATCATGCGCACCGTGAACCACGCGGCTGGAGGAGAGGTGGCGTGGAGCGCAGCACACCGCCGCGGCCCGTAGCAGACATGGGAGGGCGACAAGGGAAAAGACGCGGACGAAACCCGCGTGTGAGCCCTCTACACGCGGGTGGCCGGATGGATGCATGCAATAACACCTGGGAAACTACTTCAAGTACTTGGTAGTAGAACGGTCCCGCGCGATATCTGCTTGCAGGGAACAAACAGGACACCAATTCCACCCAAAGGGCAGTAGCAGCAGCACGTGCGGCTCACTGGGTTGCGTCCGAAAAACACGCAGACAAAAAGTACTTCGGATTGGGGGGGGGAGGAGAGTATAACTGCTGCTGGGCAAGCCGCCGGGACGAACAAACTGCTGTACCATGTGAACATGTGCATGAGCTTCTTGATGAAACACTCGGCGGTGTGCCTGGTGGTTATGCTATTAATGCTAACATGTCACGCCTGTGGCACGCGGGCGGGTATGGGTTTGAGCAACGTCGGCGTCAACACATGGCAAGTAGGCCAGTGTATGCTGCATCTCATGACAGCAGTGATGTCCTGTTGCGGGAGAATATTTCCGCCCGCAAGGCCCCTTCCCTTCTTGCGTCAATAGTTTCTCGGCGGCTGGTGGTGGTTGTTTCGTGTTCTATCTGCATGTTCGTACCGAATGTATGTAGAAAAGAGATAATCCAAATCTTGGGGTCGCTCTCGCATGTGATCCTGTGATGCCGCCGAGCTACATTACCCTGCTGTCCCGAAGACGTTCGTTCGTCAGCAAGGCGAAGATGGACACGACGAAAAAAAAACAGAACTATTTGAAGGAAACACGCCCGCCATCTTGTGTGTGTCCAATCGGAGACCATCGGAGACGACCCTTCCGGCAAGAGAGTGCTGGTGCACCGCAAGAAGAAATTGTTGATGATGACACAAGAAGACACCGCACGCAGTCCTCTCAACACCTCGTCTTCAACATCCTGGCTTGAACCCAAGCCTATATAAATAAGCAAAAGCCCAAACACCACTGGTTGATTCCAGGTCAGTGCAATGCTGTGCATACGTGCAACACGATAGGCGCTTACACGCAAGAGGGGTACAAGTAGGCGGCATACCACAGGCCCGAGCTTTGTAAGACCGCCAATTCCCGCTTGGCAGCTTGCTGCGTGCAAGAGTGGAAGAGGCAAACATCAGAAATGTGGTTTCTTATAACGCGCACGAACGTGCTTGATTACAATCAGCAGCTGATGCAACCAATCACCCGGGACACCGGCGGGCTCGTCCCAAACGCCATAAACTAGAAAGAAAAGCAGGCGGCACGGGGTGTCTAACCCTGGGATTTCCCGGCTGCAGCGGCGAGAGGAGGTTATTGCGAGACGCCCCCCGTCCGGCAGGCCCGTGAAAAACTGCCTCCCACAACAAAACAACGAACCTGCTGACTTTACGAATGATGGTTGGAGGGGTTCGTGTGACATTGCCAAAATGTGTGTAGATCAATGGATCAGACAGCGCGCACCTGCGAGTACCACGCCTTCCGCCATGCCGTCGATGAGGTTGTTCGCAAACGAGCCGCCACCCGATGACTCTTCAAAGCAATCAGGGGTTGTCGCAAGCAGCCGTCATCAGTCCGTCCATATCATTCACGCGCGCAAAACGGGAAGTGCAAAGTGAGACCCACAGCGGAAGAAGGGGAACCAACCGGAAGGGAACCATGGGAACGGGCCGCCCAGCATCAGTACAGCACAGTAGCCCCAGGCACCGAGTCACGTAGCCCTCGTTGCATAAGTAGCGCAACCGCGGTGTGTTGCTAAACACACCTCGGCGTCAACACTGACAACCCCCCAAGTCGGTGGTGCCATACCTACCATTCTCTGCTCAACAAGAAGTCGCACTCCCGTTCAAACATACCTTCTTCGTCGTCGATGCCTGTGACTGAACTTCCTACTTTGAGCACCGCCCCCTCTGTTGCTTCCTGAGCGACAACTTTGGAGAGGGCCCTCGCTGCCATGGGGTCAAACAACAAGAAGTGTGTGTGAGTCAAGCTTGCCTGCTGTTGCGCCGACCGAACCTCCTTTGATGATGATGCCTTGCCTCTTGAGCCCTGTTGCTCCAGAGAAAATTCCAAATGTTTCGTAAAGTTCTGGTCTGCTGATCGGTTTTTGGTTGGGCGGCCGGTGCGGGAGATCTTGTTCGTAGATGTATGTTACACATGGGTTGCTGCTGTATGCTGCTGCTGAGGTCTACCTGGTACAAATTAAGCTCCCCTTGGTTGTGCTAGGGAACCCAGCGCGCTCCGTCTTCGAGCGTACGTGTGAACTCGAGATTCTCATGTTGGATCTGCTGCTGGATTACGTGTACCTAACTCGAATACTTCACGACGAGCAGCATACCAAATCAAACGATACGTCGTCGGCATGCTCTCGACAAAGTTCTAACGCGGCCATATTTTTGTCGGCACAGCCACATACTGCTACAGAGTGTGTACAGAAATATTCCAGTGTGTGAAGTGGCATGCAACGGTGTGATATCTTGGTAAGCAATCTACAGTATGATCTTGGTAAGCAATCTACAGTATGTAGACTTTGCCGTGCCACCGAGGGACTGAGTGCTCATCATGACTTCAACCGCGGTCGGCTGTCGACGCTGATACACACCACACAATGTTGCAAATCATCCTGAAAGTTGTACACGTTCAATTACGAATTTCAATGGCAGAGATCCTCCTGCAACACGGGGGGAGCGGGTGACGCATGCGGGTGCTGCAGGGCCTTCTGTGTCGCCAAGAAAATAGCAAGCAAGGCTGTGCGGGGTGTGGGAACGAATCGCCGGGCGGTTCGAGTGCTCAAGAAACCCCGCGGTCTCGTTTTCGAGTCTACAAAAAGGGGCGGAGTGTTATTTATATTAGGGTTTCGACGTTATAGCCACTTCGGGTCATGGCTCCATCCTGGCTACAGTACAGGTCCCCAAAAGCTTTGGATGGGATGGAGAGACAAAACAACCAACCCCACTTTGCCGTCCTCGACGGGGAAACAAAGCCGCAACGGTGCACCCCTGAACTTTATTGCTATATTTAGGAGTAGACTACTTTGGGTCATGGCCCCATCCTGGCTATACGTTCCCAATTTTTTCGGCGGCATGGAGCGACAAACAACAACACACCATTTCCTTTCCTTGACGGATGAAGAACGCCACCACGAACGGCGGTCCGGTGCACCCCTCAGTTTCCGTATTTATCTGCTTTGGACATGTAGGAGTATCCAGTTCAGAACACGCCTGCGCTTGAGAACTCAGGAGTTACGAAACTTTGAGCGTAAAATAAAATAAAAAAGAAAGAACTCGAGCACCATTTGTGAACCCGTACAATAAAACCCATAAAGCGACCATTCGTAGCATGACCCTAGGAATTATGAACCCAGAGGTTCTTAGACTAGGAGGTGGCGCGTTCTGTATTACAATTCGCCTCGTGTCTGAGGTGCCTTGGAGGCGTCCCGGGAATGGGCCTACGAAGTAATTGGCAGGGGTTGAGCTCTGCGTGATGCATCCGCACGCTACATAGCAGGGACAAGATACGCACACCACGAACGGACAACCGTGGGCCCAGCATCCTCCTATGTTTTCAGCGCCAACCTTACGACCCGTAGTGCATTTAATGAACACCCACCAGACCTCTTCAATTTCCACATAAGCAATCCCAGAACCTCCTCTTCTTCCTCCTCCTGCTTTCTCCGTGCCACCTCTACCGCGAGCAGTTTCCACTGCTGCTTCGGTCGCCCTCATCCTTATTCCTCCGCCTTCTTCCTCGGGTTAGCCGCGGCGGCTTCGCTTCTTGTCGTCCCCGCGCCCCAACCCCCGAGATCGTGAAAGCCCCCGTTCTTGTGAGAGCTGCGGCCACACGTGTTCATACTCATCATCTTGTGCCGCCGGTCATGGCTCTTGACCCTCTTCGTCGCCGTCGTCATCCGCATCCTCCTCGGTGCTTCCCCCGTCCTCCGCAACATCCTCGTCTTTCTCCGATGGGTCCACCACAGGCATCATTACTACTTGCTGTCCTTGGCGCTACCTCCACGCCCTGGAGCTGAAATCTCTGTTCATGGGCGAGGTGCGACCTCCCGCGTTGTTCGTGCGCTTGCGCCACCCGCCACCATTGCGAAGAAGACCCCCCCAACCCTTCTGTTGTTGCTCTTCCTGCTCCTCCTTCCCCTCCTCTTCCTCCATCCAACCGCACGCCGTCCTCATCATCCCCATCTACGTCCTCCAGTTGCTGCACTGTGTACAACGCAGACCGTTTGCTCTTCTCCCAGTACCCACACGCTCGGGAGCTTGAACCTTGCCGAGCTGCGACCATGGTAAAGACGCACCGTTGTTTCCGCCGCTTCGTCTACCCTGGCACCCGCTGCTTCTCGCAGCATAATCAGGACATGATTTCGGTGCCACATCGTGATCCTATTCTTCAGAGAAGGAGCCATCATGTTTTCTATCACGCTCGAGCGATAGCTAGAGCGTCCGCGCGTCCTCTTTGCGTTTGGCCAACCGCAAACTGCATAGGGTGTGACCGCGACGATTCAAGCGTTGTTCGTGAGACGTTCTGCTTCTTCAACCGCTGCACCTACGCCTCCCGCAGTCATTTGCTGGCGTAGACCATATCCTCGACCATTGAACTGACATCGGTAGTATCTGAGGCAACCGAAACCGAACGAGCTACCATTGACGGGTTGCTTGATGGTGAGGCGCCGGTGCTGGCCCAATGGTCGGGAAACTCGCCGCTTCCCTCGCCGTCGCTACCTCCCTCGCCGCCTCTGGGGACTGGACACCTACAAGATAAACGAAAGCATCGCGGACTGATGCTACACTCGGGGGGTGCACTTTTGGGGTGAAATCTTTCGCTTGTCGGGAGAAAACCTGTGACCCTGTTGCGGCGACCGTACGTCGAAATAGACCGTGGACATTAGGTTTGCGTAGACTGTGTCTCCCTACCCGACAGCGGTGGAAGACGAGGTGACCACCACACCATAGCATCACTCACGGGTCAACGCACTCACCGTTCTCAACGTGCTCTTCGATGAAAGATTATCAAGAAGTTGCATTGTGTGGTTCGTGGAACAACGCCGTAGTTGTGGACATGTTGCTCAATTAGGGTAGCGCGACGAGACAATATGTCCAAACCCAATAGTATCAAGTACCGCCCCATGACAAAGTTCATCTTAAGAAGAAGAATGATCAACACAAGCAATCACGCCTCGGCCAAAACACCATCGGCTTGCTCATCGTGTAACGAAACAGGTCTTTGAGTAGAGTTATGCACCGTCCCGGCTTAGTAGAGATGCTACATAGGCAAATGGTCTAACGCCTACGGAATGCACGGCTACGAGTTCACCCCTCCCTTCCCCCCTCGCGAAAGTTCCGATGCGTGCCATAACTTCGAAAACGGAGTCTGCACCAAATCGTATTGTCTATGTTGCTGTTGTCAATGCTCCTCCCCCCTCGCGTTGTGTCAGGGCTTCAGTTCTTGTCATATCCATACAGAATGACGTGGCATCTGCTAGTATTCCAAGAGCGAATGGAACCGGTGTATGTAGTGTCCAACACGCAGTAGCTGAACACGCCTCGACTTGAAAAAACTGCTGAGACAGACCATATCAATTCGTTGAGTGCGAGTGCAGTACCCTGTTGGATCGATTCGTGGTGTGATGGAACAACTGTGCACACACAAAGAACAACTGCAGTAACAGGAACAATGAAACCGCCATCGCATTGCCACTGTCCGCTGGCATCGACGTACAACGGCGGCGGTGGTCGTCTTGTTGGCAAACCAAGATGGAAATACCCGCTTTCATGCCGATGTAGCTAGCGTTCACCGCAGGCACAGATACAGGCCCAGCACAGAAGAAAACACAAACAAGCCGCCAGCACAATGACACACTTTCGCTTACTCCAGCTTGACTACTTATAGATAGGTTTTCGTGTCGAACCGAAGCGAGAGGCGTACAAACGCAAGCGTAACCTTGAGAGCGGTCTACACGAGCAATGCAGCACGAAAAGCGCACACACGAGCTCTGATGAGGTTACTTTTCATGCGATGGTTCTTTCCATATGAGCCAAGTTCAAAGGTTATGGATCATTGAAGAACGCCGACGCTATCGCCTCTCTTCGCACACCTCTCACGTGTCCGTACGTCCGTACCGGCGATGGCCGCCGCCGCTGCTTTCACCGCCTGCCAGGGAGAACTCGCCTTGGTGCTTTCATGCGCTGTTTCAAGCTTGGGTCATATACTCCTTCATTTCTTGTGTATATGGTGATTCGTACACTGCAAAAAGAGTGAAAAACTCCCCAACTTTCTTTCGTTGTCAGACTTACATATCGAAGCTTCATCCGTTAGTTGCTGAAAGCGTGATAGAATACAGACGAAGTTTTCGTATTTCGAAATTATGGAACCCTCAAGCCCTGTACCATCGAGGCTTTACTACTGTGGGCGCGGAAGCTGTTCTACGAGTTGTTTCGACTGACAATACCTCCCAAAGCCCTCGTGTTGTCATCATGACCGCCGTATCCACGAAGAAGATAACCCAAATACGTCCCGGACGATAACTCGCCGGAGTGGGAGGTGCGTGTACCCTGAACACTACAACCTAAAACGAATAGAGAGTCGCCTTGTATTGTCTGAGCAGTCTGGCGTAGTTGATCAGGATAATATCTGCATTCTACCAAACGAATATTTCTCTCCTGTGTCAATTCTCCGACTTCGTAGCCTCGCGGCATTTCGAGCATCCCTCGCTACACCATCGACTCTTGCACGCAGAGCGTTCAGAATTCTAGAATCATGGCCCACCCACCTATATCAGGACCGCGTAAGCTACAGTACTACCTACACGGCCTGTGGGTTCCAAGTACAAGTAGATACCTGACTCGACCCCGTTGGTACTAAGAATTTCGGTCAAGTGAAAACATGAATACATTCTACATGTATGTAGGCAGGTAGACACATTGTCAATTTCCACTTTCCCTTGATCCGACCCAATTCATCAATCAACTCTTGCGTGGTAGTGGGAGCTCGTACTACGGTCACCCCACTCTCTGTGTCTAAGTGTCTACCACTGTAGACTACATACACCCGGCAGAGGGCAAATATGTCCTCGTTGATGACTTTCCGGAAGAAGGTAACGCACACGACCTCGGCTCGGCGGCGTATAGTGCTAAATACAGCGACACGAACGGACTTGAATCGTGGAGCCCCGGCGAGCAAGCGCAGATATCGCTTTCCAGTACATAACAAGCCAGCGAAACGACAACTCGTGAGGTCAGACTCCAAACAACAATGGAAACATCGAGCATTAACCTAGGTTACACGCTTTTGAATGGTTGCTTGTAGCAACAACGTATTTGCCTTCGAAAAACGCCTCCATGGCATCGACGTCGCTCCTTCGTGTACCAACGTTAGAACACCGAGAGGCTGCAAAAAGATTTGAAGAGCATTCCCTGCGCCCGCGCAAACCCAAGCACTTGTTCTTAACCTAAAGATGACTGAATTCGTCACCACATGAAACACGTAGAAAAACGCTACATTAAATATCAAAGTCGAGCTATGTACTAGGGCACCCACCGATCTTCGCCTTCACGTGGCGCTCAGAATCTTATATCCCTCTGGGGGTTACCAAAAACAGCAGCGTGTCCGCATTTCGCAACAAACTCCTGAGGCAGATCCTCAAACAGTTATTGAAAAACAAGTTACATCAATGCTTTCCTTCCAGTTGTTCTGATGTGGGCCTCGTCGGTTGCACTGCGGCGGATCAAGCTGTGGTGTTACGTTCACCTCCGTAAGAAACAAACAGGGAATACAGCAGCATGCGCAAAAGGCACAAAACCACCCGCGCACACTACTCGTGCCTTCCTACCGCAGGTCGGCAGGACAACCAAGATCAGCTGGCCTCCGACACGACTCTGCTCCGTGGTTGGGTACCCCCCCATCGCAATATTTTCAGGAGGTTTAGGCGGGGACACGCACAACGCCGATCTTGGCGTTGGAGTGCGGGTGGGCCTCTTGAGGACGTATTGACGGGAAGACGATGCTGCAGTGTTGCGCCGTAGGTGCTCTGGAGTATGGGGCCAAGTCGCAGTGTTCCGCCGGGTCGAACGCAACGTTATCCCCCAAGCTGTCCTCGAAGTCGATGCCGGGCTTCTGGAGGGCCATCTGCGTTTCATGGGCCGGACACGTTGCGAAACGTAACGGTTGGTTGTTGCGAAACGTAACGGTACACTTTTAGATTGACCTCATCAGCTGGAGTGAACAAACCCATCGTTTTGTGCGGACCGGAAATAGATTCAACACGTTGAAGGTGGACAAAAGCGTCGAGGCATCTGTCTTCAGGAACGATGTGCCAAAGAAGATACGTTGAGAGGTGTTCACCCGGAGGGGCCGTGCAGCGAAATTGGAGACGGTCCTTGTTCGTGAGGCATGCCGCCCCCTCGATTCAAGAAATCGCCCTAGTCGCGCAGTGCGAATCATTCAGCCAAATTCACTCTTCCTTGTCGCCACGACGTTCGACTCACAGAAAAAGCCTTGCCTCGTCAGAAACAAAGTCATCATGTTAGCACACCTCGACGAAAACCAGCAAGTAGTTCTTCATGAGGGCCTCGAAGGAAGGCCACGTGGCGCCAGAGGTGATCTCGTTGGCGAGGCCCCTGTCCGCAGGCTCCCCGCAGCGCTGAAGGATAAGCCGAGCTAGCTCATCCATGCGGTCTGGCTCCGTCGATACGATCGTCCGGTACTTCCTGCAGAGGCACTCGTACAGCACGTACTGCGGGTCCAGGCTCTTCTCGTCGCCGGCCGACAGCAGGATGGGCTCGGCGTTGCCCAGGAATGCCGACAGGATCTGGAGCCTCTCGTCCAAGCACCGCTGCACCTCCTCCCTGCAGACCAGGAAAGTGTTGTACAGGACACTCCGTGTCGTCCCGTACCAGGTCTGGCGGGACCCTCCGACGGCGAAGGCTTTCTCGGTCCACGCGAGCGCGTCATCCGCCAGGTGCCCCACGTGCTGGTACACATCGCCGACGCTGGGGAAGACGCCAGGGCGTAGCCCGCCACCGCTCGACCGATGAATCAGGGTCTCAGCGTTGACGCGCCTGGTGTGCTCAGTGTCGAGGTCCCTCCTGCGGTGCAAGATGCCGGGCACGACAGTGAAGCGAAACGCCAACCAAAACGCAAGACACTTGTTGAGGAACAATCCAACCATGAACGCGCTGACGCCGTTGACGAACAGCTGTTACTGACTGCCGATCCCGTCCCAAACACACTTGTGTCGTAGACGAATGCACACAATATAATCGTACACGCGATGACGTGCTAGTCTTGTTCAATAGTGCCTGTCCGCCCACTCCACACAAGTACCGACAGGCCAAACTGTACAGGAAAATGTTGAGGAATTTAAGGGGCATCGCTGACAAAATATATACCATTTGAATGTTCCAAAAACAATCTTCAAATTATTCAGCAGCCTGCGCAGGAATTGGTTGGGATTCGCAGTATATCTCCAATTTCACCACACAGGAAACCGTACGTGCCGTCCTTCTCAGCCCTACTGCCAACGGGGAAGACCGCTGTTCCCGCCTGTATAGTAGCCCCCGTCCACCCATCCGAATTTGTTGCGACAGGTATGAGCTGTATGGGGGCGTCTAGTGCTATACTTCAACATGGGGATGTTCATCGCGACGCTTCGTGTTCGTTCCATGCACGACACAACGCAGCGAACACTAAAATTTTGAAGTTTCGGAACAACCTCAAACGCCACCTGCTCTGCGCGAGAAACATGAGCGGACCATTAAACGCAGCAGTTGTATCCCATTGCTCATCGCGTTCAGCAGGTGCCCATAGGGAACTGCAGCTCTATTCGGAAAGAGATTGATGACGAAGAAGGGATGGTTGGACGGCTTCCCTTGCGTCGAGCTCAGCAACTATCCACTCTTGCGCCTGCGGTAGGTACCCCTGACAGGTTCGGCGAGGAAGTTACAACCGTGGTCAGCGACGTGCAAACCACTCGACGCTTTTCGCGTGTCCGGGATGCCCACACGAACAACTGCAGCCCTCTCCCACCATGCGCATGGACACACAATGTATACGCCAGTATTGGTCGTACGATACTCACCGAAGGCGGCCCACCTCGACGTCTTCAGTGGCGCCATGGCCGCCCGCGGGCGGAGTCGGAGGAGGTTTGCGCCTGCGGAGGCAACACGCGAGCCAAACTGCATTTCCCAGCACCAAAGCAGCCAGGATGACCGAGAGCGCGACGACTCCAGTCGTGGAAGCTGGTGTGAGAAACAAGAGTTGGGGAAAAAGAGCCCGCCGGGCAGTTAAGCGAATGCACGCTCTTGCAGCAGGGATTCTCGCGTTTTAAAAACCCCAGCCCTGTAAAACAGATGGTTTCTCCTTCAGAAGCGTCAAAAGACCCACGAGTTTTGTGTACGAGATAACGGTCGCGTGCGGACTTTGAGCGCAAACCCCGGTACCATCAACATGCGCATATCCCACGTCTGGACAACCTTGCACTTGCTCAACGCGCGGCACAGCCTTAGAGCCCCTGCCGAGCTGTATCCGACCTGTGGACAGAAGACAGCTTCGCGGGAAAGTGTCTAAAGTAACGGGGCTTCCGTTGAGCCATGTTGAGGTGTTTCCCCCCCGTCGTCATGTTGCCAACTTTCAGTTGGGGTGCTACGCAGCCTGAGGAAAAAAAGTGGCAGCGTTGCTTGGTTGTATCCCACACGAAATATGCTACGGCGACAATCATTGGTGGGGACGGGGTGTGCGGGCGTTCTAGTCCTCTGGGCCAAAAAAGCGGTCGGCACAAGGAAACTGCCAGCGACGACGGGTCTGAGAGCCTAGGCCTTGGGATGAGTGCCCTGTGCACTCTCCCGTCCGCATGGACAGCCCAGCTTCCAATCTCGCGCTGCGCGTGCGGCGCACGTTGCGTGACCATGCCTGAAGATGAAGATGTAAAATGGATGCACCGCAAACCGCTTTCGCATGGGGTTGTCGAGATCTTGCAATATATATACACATCGGCTTGTTTCCATCGAGAATACACTGGGGGGGGGGGGGTGTACTCAAAGTCGTGCTTGCCGTAGTCGTTTGGCCATTGACCTCGCATCCCTACAAAGCCGGGACGGAGCACGCCGGGTTCTCACCGGACCAGGCTCTCACATCACCAAGCGCGAAGCGCCGTGAGGTGTTCGGCGAGTCGCATGGAGAGTGCGCTGCATCGTGCTAAGGGTGTGTGGCAGAATGTGTTTGCCTCCTTGCAATGGATGACAGCTGCGAACGACTTAATATATATTCTGGTGCTTCTACTTTCAGAGTTTTAAGCACCGTGAAACTGCCTCGAGGGAGCTTGGCAATTTTAACACAACGTGGTGCGATCATCCCCTGTGCGGCGTGAGGGTTCTCGACCCCGCACAACACAATCTACTCCACCACCATTAGGATTACCGCAAAAAAAATATAACAAAAAAAAAGCGGTAACCTGGTTGTCGAGCTCACAAAGCGATCGGCTTGTTTTTCAACGTCGTTGCCAAGCGACGAAAACCCAACCCCGGTCACATACACCGGGGGGGGGGGGGGGGGGGGGGGGAAACCCTTTTGGGGGGTAAAAATGGGGCCCAAAAAAACCCCCCGGTCCGGGGAAATCCCGTCC